GGCGTCTCGGGGGCCTCTTGGGCAGTCTTGGGGGCCTCTTGGGGCACTCTGAGCGCGCTCTGGGGAGCCTGAGAGGCCGCACCCGGAAGGAAAACCATCTCTGAGTAGACTTGGTCGGGCGGCGGTCGGGCGGCGGTCGGGCGGCGGTCAGGCGGCGACCGGGCGTTGGTCGGGGTACTTTTCGCCGGGGGACCCCCAGGGGCCGCCCCGCGCGCGCGAACTAGAAATACTGTTAATACTGTTAATCAGTTACCGGAGATCTTAGCACGCCCTGGCCCGTTGGGCCGGCGAATTATCGTCGTGATCCCTCAGAGGCGTTCTCCGCAGCAGCCGCGGGCGATAGGGGGGGAGAGGCGGGGCAGGAGGGGGGGAAAAGACGAGAGCCCCAACACCCTCGCGACGCGAAGACGTCACGCCCGAAGGGGGAAGGGCTTTGGCAGCAAGTGTCTGAGGATGAGGAGGAGGAGGAGGAGGAGGAGGAGGAGGAGGCGGATATAGCAACCACAAAAGAGCACACAGAGCGCGCCTCTCCTCACGGTCTGGCGAGTTTCCTGGCTGCCTCCCCTCGGAGGGCATGGCCATCACCCGCCTCTTCTTGCCCGAGCTCCTGGGCCAGGTCCAGGAGCAGGTGTTAGGGTGACCCAAAAGGGGGTCCAGCTGCAAGGGGGTGGTGCAAGAGATTTGGGGCAATTTGATTGCACATGTTCAGCGCTGGAGAATTGGACTGCGTTGTATTGCAACGAATGTACTGCACGCGAAAATCCAGCTGCACGTTTGCGCCCCGGGGTGTATTGCACGCCCCAGATGTACTGCAACCCCACAAATCGATTGAACCCAGACCACTGCACCACCCGCTTGTCGCTGGACCCCCTTTTTGGGCCAACCCGAAGGTGCGCGCACGCGCGGCGGCCGAGAGCCACGCGGCGAAGGCGGCGGCCGCCGCCGTCGAGGCGTGCCCCCCTCCCCTCGCCTCTGCGCCCGGGCTGCGGCCGCGGGCTCGAGGCCCCACTGGGATGCCCGCGGGGTCGGAGCCGGCTGGGGGTCTGAGGTGGGCCAGCCCTGCATGGTGCGAGCGAGCGGGAGGGGGGGGGGCAGGTTCGAGACTCTGGGTCCGCACCGTCTTTCTGTTGCTGCTTGTGCGCCTTCTTCGGCCTCCGGGGGCCGCTTTCGGGCCCCAGGGCCGCCACACACGGACCCAGGGTAAACTGCACCAGATGGACACCCTGGAGGGATCAGGGGACCGAGCGGATTTGGCGCCATCCCGCCTCCTGACAGATCTTCTGGGACCCCAACCAGTTCAGACCCCGTGGCCGCCTCGACGTCGCAATGGGATGACCGCTGGTGTTACTCAGGAGACAGGTCCTCCCGCTTCTCCAGCTCCTCCTCCTGCCTGATCCTCGTCCTCCTCCTCCTCCTCCTCCTCGTCTTCCTCCTCCTGATTGCTGATTACTGAGGGCGTGGCGTCTGTTCGACGCTGCCTTCCCTCCTCCGCGTCCTCAAAGCTCGAGGCTGTTGACCTTCTTGGATGACCGCGGGGGCTACTAAGGGGACAGGGGGGATATAAGCGGAGATCGGGTTGGTTATATGTGGTGTAGCCTGGCTTATAAGTGAGCTACACATGCCCCGAGTGGCTTAGGTCACTGGTCCGAGGTCTCACTGGGATGACCTCTTATAGAAGACCCCGTGGGCCCCCTGCTTTCTTCCCAGGCATCCGACGTTTCGATTCGTTTCGGTACGGAGCCCCCTCGAAATGCCGACCCTTTCCCCTGGGCCGGTCCTTCATCCCGAGCTGCAGATATCTTACGGCCCCGAAGCCCAGGACGCTTTTGAGGTAAATGAATTACTTGGTCGATTTCCTACTCAAACTCTACTTACTTCTTTCTCCCTCCCTCGTCATCGTTCCGCCCGCGCCGCTGCCCGCGCCGCCCCGGAGGCAGATTTCCCTTGCGGATCCCTTTCCGATGGCCCCGGGCCCCGGCAACCGGCCCGTAATTACCGAGGCCGACCTAGAGCTACCCTTTCAAACAAGTCAGCCCGCGCGCGCAGCCGCCCGCGCCGCCCCTCTTCGACGACGACGACGACGATGACGATGGCGATGACGACGATGACGATGGCGATGAAGATGACGATGACGATGACGATGCTTCCCACCGAATGGTAAAGTGCGAGCACTTTGTGGCCAGCAGGCCGGCTCGCACGGGCCTCTGCTTTCACCGCCCACCACACCACCCCAACCCAACCCGAAGGCCCCGATTTGCCTTCCATTTCCAGTGGGGGGGGGGGATAGGGGAACATTGGGGAACCACAGATGGAAACCTCACCCCCCCCAACCCGAAATTCGGGTCTTCGGGTTGGGTTGGGGTGGTCTGGTAGGTAGTCAGTGGGCAGCCCCGCGTCCGCGCAGCCGCCCGCGCCGCCCTTCCCCCCGCCGCCTTCCGAGGCGCAGCGCGCCGCCCGCGCTGCGGCGGTGCGTGCGCGCGAGGGCGCACGGCGCGCCGAGGCGGGCCCCTCCACCGCGCCGTGGTGGGGCCTTCGAGGCGACGGCGACGGCGACGACCGCGACGACAGGACGACGACGACGACGACGACGACGACGACGACGACGACGACGACGGCGACGACGACGACGACGACAGGACGACGACGACGACGACGACGGCGACGACGACGACGACGACGACGACGGCAGAACGACGACGACGACGGGGACGATAGGACGACGACGACGACGGCGACGACAGGACGACGACGACGACGACGGCGACAACGGCGACGACAGGACGACGACAGGACGACAACGACGACTCAACTCAACTCAACAACTCTAGGAGCGGTGTCCGATTGTCCACTTCACTGCTTTGCCAAAAAAGCGTTTCGACTGAGCCGAGATGCGTAAAAAATTGAAGCTAAGTGGGACGTGCTCTGAGTTCCTGCAAAGGGAGTACTGGCTGCCATTGCGCAGGCACGGGTTTCGTGCTCGGGCTGTCTACAGCGCCCTGGTTAGCCGACACTTGGCCTCAGAGGCCATCCAGCACCCCCCAGGGACGAGGCTCTTAGCCTCAAGAAAAAAGTTATCCTCTCGATCTCCCACGACCCCTCCCCCGAGTACCACGACCCTCTCCCTTCCCTCTGGCGGGCGCCTGCGCCTCAGCACGTCGAATTGGTGTGATCGGCGCAGTGCTGGCGGCCTGTGCCAAAGCCGCCTCAACAGAGACGTGGCCAGCCTGTACTAAGCTTAATAGACGAACTGAGTGGCGCCCAATCAGTACCTGCTGTGTGCTGCTTAACCTCCGTCGCCCTTTACCTCCTTCAGCAGTTCCTGTGCCAGGCGCTCCAGGGGCCCCCGAGGGGCGGGCCCGACCTTGGTCTGACCGCCCATCAGCTTCAGTCCCTTGATGATTACTGCCTCGAGCTCGGTGTGTGTGTTCCTGATCGCGAAAGATATCTTCACCCTGTCGCTGGCACCGTCCTTCTTCTTCACTGGTTTCACCTTGCAGTGAAGAACGACCTCCGCCAGCTCGAGCACTGATTTGGCCGTCTGCACCCTCGTGGTCCAGAAACTCTCCAGCATGCCCTGGTCCGTCGGCGTCAGCTGGTCCTTGAGCGTCGCCAGTGCCTTCAGTACTGCCATGAAGATGTACGGGTACGGTGGTCCCAGTGCGTCTGACTGGTCCGTGTCCTTTTTTGCTTCCTTTGCCTTTCCGTGGTAGGCGATGCCTTCCGCCTTGGCCTCCTTTGCCACTGCGCAGTCTGCGGGGAGCAGCATGGTGTGCCATAACATTCCTGTCAGCCCCCGCAGCTCTGAAGCGTTCGTGAGCGTGAGCCTCGTCAGCACCACGATCAGCTTGCCGAGGCTCTTGAAGTTTTCTTTGCCCGCCAAGTCTGCAATCTTCCGCACCTTTGGTGTCTGGCGACCCCCCTTGCTGGCCTCTCCTTCGCCTCGCCGCTTGAGCGCCCAGGACGGTGCCGCCAAATCCATCAGCAAAATGTGTGATCGGCGGGGCGTGAGTCTGCAAATGTGTCTGTAGCCCCTCAAAAGCTGAGCCGACGAACTCGCACATATGACATGCCCTGCGATCTGGATGTTGCCTACCCCCGTAGTGCCGAGAGCTGGTCGCGCACTTTCCTCCCCTGCACAACGAGTCCATCACATGTCTCTGAGCTCTACTAGTATCTGCATGTTCAGCGAGACAATACGGACATACATTCGTAGTCACAATCTGCAGCCATGGATCTCTTACTCCGTGTGCCGACATGCGGTGTTGATTCACTGCCTTGAAACTGCCGAACCGACGATCACAAGAGCCTTCCCCCGTCCGATATCCGCATACCCATTTTTATGTTCTTCATCTAGTTGGGGCTGAGCGTCTTCATCCTCAGGGACCACAGGGACGGGGGCTCCACGATACTCTGGGGGAGGTACCATTGCTGCATAAGCTCCTTGCTAAGTCGATCCAAGTCGAACATGTTGAATTCGTTTGCGAGCTCGATGTCCCGAAACAGCTCCAGGAACCCCTGACGCAGGATGGTGCCCACGGTGCCCCCCTCATCGTCCATCTTCTGAACTCCCTCCAAGATGTCCTCTTTCATCTGTTTGGCCCAGGGCCTGGCGAATGGCGTGATATCGTTGTCGTTTATGCTCACTGTGTCGTGCTGCTCAAAGTCGTACTTACCGAACACTGCCGTGAGAAACTGCGCGTGCTTCTATGGCCGTGCAGCGTATTGTTGGATACGCTTCAGTCTACGAGCGTGCATCTCGAGCTGTGCTGGTGCAATGCGCCAGTACCTAAGGACCTCACGAGTGCTCATACTACGGTGTGTCTCTACACCATCCGAAACATCTAAAAAATGCGCGGCGCCCTGCATAGCTTTGCGCGCATAGTGTGCCATGGCCCTATCAAGGGCGTTATATTGTGCAGCACTCAAAACATAGGCCTCAACTCCATGGAGGAGCGTATTTTGGACACAACAAATCAGCATACTCCTTCTCACCTTCCAGGGTTGGCGGGGAAGGGACCAAAAAAACCCTAGAGCTTTATACGCAATCAGGGCAGCCTGCTTTCGTTTTTTTTTGCACAGGGGCAAAGCTCGAGCTCGCAGCAACCTGCGAGCCCAAGTACCGAGCAGAAACAGAGTGGTTGGCGGGAAGGGAGAGGGCGCCACTGCGCAGGCACTCTGCTGCGGCAGTGCGGCCCGAACCTGCAAATACGGGGACGATCTCCTGCTTTCCAAGATTCTGCTTACAACCTATCGTGACAAGAGCGTCGTCCAGACATGCATTGGCCAGATGCGAACGTGCTGCGAAATATGCGAGCCTCTCGTCTACTCTAGACAGTAGCATCTTGAAGAGATCGTCTGCATACTGAAAGACCGACATCTCAATCTTACGTCCAGAAAAATGGTCGGTCGCACAGAATTCATCAACATCACAGTTGTTGACACGCACCAGCTGCTGCCACTGGTTTACACCAGGTTGAAAAGCTTGCACAAACTGTCGCACTACCAGGGGTCCCCCATGAAGGCTCCACATCCGATTTTTAAAAAGGTGAGGCCCCGTGGATAGGGAAGGGGAAGGCCAACTACCGCCTCCTGAAATCTCTGGCAGCCCTGGGGGGAAAGACCTTCTCGCATGACTGTGTCTGTCGCTTCCTGAAGTGCCTCCCAGTGCACGCTGCCAAACGCATTACTTAAATCGTGCATGTGTGCGAGTACAGATCTACCACATTCTTTGGCCCTCCAGATGCCTATCATGGCCCCCCCCCCCTATGGCTGATTCTTTGCATTTGCCTGGGAGGAAGCCGTAAACCTGACTGGGCATATTTGGGGCAGTGTTGTTTATACAGTACCATCCCTTCCCTAAAGTGGTGAGGAGGTGGACGGTTCTCATACCTACCGAGGTGTCACCTATGTCATCTTGATCGGCCTTCTTGGGCCAGCTGGTTCCAAGACTAACGTGCCAAAAAGACGGGGTCCTCTGGGACTGTCTAATTTTAACAAGCCCGTCCTCAAGTGCTGACAGAAAAAGCGGGGCCTCGAGAGGAGGGAGCTCGGTGCCTATTCCCGCAATCTGTTTTTCGGGGTGGGCCTCAGGGGCCAAGAGAATGGCCAGTAATTCGAGCGGCGTCGACCATGGCGCACAAGCTTTCCGCTTCGGGGCCCGTTGGGCCCAGTATCTCAATCTTCTCAGGTCACCTTTGGCATCCCTTCTAAAATCCTCGTCAAGCCCCTCGACTGGAGCGTTCAGATCATGATGCTGTCGCCGTTCGCGAAACCAATCAGGTACATGTCGTGCCATCATACCTCCGCCTGCTCCTGTTTTGCCCCATGTTTCCAGCCATTGTTCAGTACTCAGGCCATTGGTCTTTACTGACAGGTAGGGTCTGCGTTTCACTCCATATTTGCAACCAGCTGCGCGTCGAGCAAGTGTGTGAACTTGTGACATGTTTCTCTCCTTCCATGCTTTCCACATCTCATCGATGAGCTCCGTCTGATAGATTTCCCACTTCTGTTTGCGTTCTCTCTGTAAGTGCGTTGACAACCTTTCTCAGCTCCATCGTGACCTGCTCCACCTCGTCCTCCTCAGCTTCTGCTAGTGTCTCTCGCATCCGTTGCCTTTGCGCCAATACCTCATGTCGGCGGCGGCGGAGAGTCTCATACCGCTCATCACGAGGTGGTGCTTTACGAAATACTTCTTGTCCAGCATCTCTCAGGGTGGTCTCTATCTGCTCAAATAACCTGTCTGGAAGTTCCAGGTCCATGTACTGATAGTAATGCTCGATGTCTCCCGCCATATATTCTTCAATCTTCTCAAAGAAACGCTGTTTCGTGTGTGGATCCCTGCCAGTAAACGCATCCATCATGGCGTCGCGATCCCACTGTAGCGGTGCAATTGTCTCGTGTGGGGGGCCAGCTGCCAGACAAAAATTGAGATGAATCGGGAGGTGGTCCATCTTGCGCTTCGTGTTGATCAGCTGTAGTTTTCGTCCCAGTCCACCAAGCGGGCCCGCAGAGGTGATGCCTAGCGTCGTCGGGCAACATATGTAGTCGATTAGGCTGCTGTGTCCGTTGTCACCATACCAAGTGTCCATATTTGTGCATGTGTTTGCTGCCCAAAGGTGATGTGTCCCCAGTATTTGCCGAAACTCCTTGCCCGCGAAATGTTCCCTTCGAGCGCCTGCTTCGTCAACCGCAGTAGCCTCTAAGGTACAAGGGTCCCACGGTGGCCACTCTCTTTCCCCATTCCGTCATTCAAATCAATTCCTATTATCGGCACGCTCCTTGCGGGTGTGCTGTTCAATACATATGATACCCATCCAAATAGCTTTGAAACTGTCTTCTCATATGTGCTCGCCGATTTTGCACAGCTTGGGCGCGGAGGTGCGTAAGCTCCAATGAAAGTAAAGTCATGAAACCTGTTGGCGATCCGTACTGCCAATCCGCGCCCAGCTAGTGCCGCTGGTGGTAGTTGAACTCGTCGAACATTTTTGTTCTCTCAGCTTT